AACAAGCAACAACCTAGTCTTTTAAACTGAAAGTGTAAAATATTGATTTAAACTTATATACCCACTGCATGTAGTGTATATGCTTTAAGCCACACATGTATGTATAGTTGTAAGAATATCTGCATAGAACTTTACCTGGTCTTCAATGGCATTCATGAAGTGTGCTACTGAAAAGGTGACACCAAGCTCTCTAAACAGTTTTACCAGTAATACATTGTATGGTTACTGACTTGTCAATCAAAGACTCTCCAACTTGTTAAATCTATCCAAATTTGCAAATATCAAGCTAACAAATTAACTCTGTAGACTGATATAACAGATAAAACCAACTTACAGTTTTTTGAGACATGATATACTGATAATACAAGAAGTATTTAGCCAAGAATATGTGTCTGGTTTGAGTGAAGTAGATTGCAATCATATGCAAATATTTATGTTGCAATGAATAGAGGCTGACAAAGCTCAAAAGAAAAAAAATCCTCATCAAGGTAAAATTATTCCACAAATTAAACTAAAATAATATAAAACTTTTTCATAATCAGCATAAGACCCAGAATTTAAATACTTGTTAGACTCAACAAATATCTAGTTATCTGTTACTGAGCCAGAAAAATTACTTACATAGCAATAAACATTACTTTTGATTAAAATTTATAGGCCTTTAATAAAATAAACATACTTCGGACTTTCAGGGCTAGAATTACATGAATAGCTTGATAAAGGAGCAATAAACGTAATTTCTAGTCTCTACTGCTGAAATTTAGCTTATGCATAGACTACAACGATATTTCCAGTATTCATTCAGGTATATTTAGCAAAACGAATTTATCCCTGAAAATTGCTTAACTAAAGACCATTGACACAAAACTGAAGAGGACAATTTTAAACCGTGCACATGCTTTGCTCTTTCGTACTGAGATATACATGTTACGACAGGAAACATGGCAATCGACTCGATCGGAAGCACATGCAATGACAGCAATTCCTTCTTCAAAGTAAAGAAAATAATAGCAAAAACTTGCTGGTTAATTATGTAAAATTCATTCCAGAAATTTGACAATCGATTATTCGCGAAAGGAAAATTTCCTTCACTTTTTGCATGAGTCAAGCTACAAGGTATAAATAGACTATTGTGCGGTTAAAATGACCCGAAGTCTTGACATTTTCGGAAGCAACACCATATGCGTTGTTCGACTTAACCATCACCGGGCAATATAAACGAAACTTATTGCACGATCATGGAGGGACTTAAATAATTCCCTTCATTTTAGGTACAGTAGATTAAAAACCTTAAAAGAATCTATGAAAAATGGATTAGAATGTCCTGAATCAATCATTGACAACTGATTTACAAGTTTTGAGTAATACATTCAAGATTTACTCGGTCGTTCCAGAACAACAAATCAAGCTTAACGACAACAACGAACCATGATATTAGAAAAATAAAGTGTCAGCAAAACGCATGAAGA